ACGCCTCATCTTTCTCCCACGGAGCAGCTGGTAGTTTCGAACCGCTGACCTTAAGGTTCGCAGCCCGATTCGTAACCACTACGCTACCAGAGCTCCTTGAAAAAGAGTAAGACTCCCCAAAATATGGATTAACACAGGTGACAGCAATGATGGGCTCAAATAATACAATTGTGAGAATGGTTCAGGACAAGGCAGTTTTTCATTGTGTTGAAACGTACAATTGCTATGATTCAAAACAGACTCAATGGCACCTAACAGTAAGAAGAAGAAAACTTTGGTTCTCCAGTGATCTTAATTTGGAGTACAGATATATCCTATTTGATCTATTATAAAAATAGATTTTACCACAATTAATTTGAACCAAAATAGAAGAGTAATGAATAGTCATAATATGCATTTCATTTGTTCTCTTATGCTGATACTATGGTCCCTGATGTTATCCTTTATAGCTAAGTTTAACATATATTCACACAATGCCCATTCTTAGTCCATTTTTCATCGAATAAATCTTGTTTCCCTTCTTCCAACTTTTTAAAATTCTTAATACTTTATTTTTTTCTTTCTATTTTTATGATACATAGAAAACAAAGATAAATAAGAATAATTTTCTACAGGATCATGTTATCCTTTCTGATTCCAAACTAATTTAATATGTTAAAACATAGAAACTTGGCTATGTGATAAAGGGGTTTCCTATAGTATATTTAGGTGCCATACCATCTGACCAACTATGTGGGTTTGGACAAGAAACTCTGGGCTTCTATTGTTGTATGTTAGGTGCCATTAAGTCACCACCAACTCAGCGATCCTATGCAAAACAGGACAAAAAACTGCATGATCCCATGCCAACTTCACAATCATTGCATATCTTGGGCTCATTGCTGTCCCCACTGTGCTAATCCATCTCATTGGGGGTCTTCCTCCCTTTCTCTGATCCTTCACTTTACCAAACATGATATCCTTCTCCAGGGACCGGTCATTCCTGATAATATGTACACAGTAAGAGAGATGAAGTCTAGCCATCCTGAGTTCCAGGGAGCATTCTGGCTGTACTTCTTGTAACACAGATTGGTTTCATTTGTAGTTCATGGTACTTTTAATATTCTCCTCCAACACCATAATTCAAATACATAAATTCTTCTACTGTTTTCCTTATTCATTGTCCAATGTTCACATGCATATGAAGTTACTGAAAATGCCATGGCTTGGATCAGGTGCACCTTAGTCCTCAGACATCTTTGGTCGCGAACATTTAAAGAGGTCTGTGCAGCAGATTTGCCTAAGGCAATACGTCGCTTGATTTCTTTGCTGCTACTTCCATCAATGTTGATAGTTGATCCTAGCAAAATGAAGTCTTTGACAACTTCAATATTTTCTCCATTTATATGGATGTTATTTATTGGCCCAGTGGTGAAGATTTGTGTTTACTTTATACTGAGGTGTAACTCATACCAAAGACTGTGGTCTTTGGTATCTATAATGAGGCAATTGTACTCCAGATGCAGGAACATCTTTGTTTATTAATGGAGATTTTGTTGGTCTTATTCCTTCTCTAATTATAAATATGTAAGCAAGTGTATTCTTAGCCTATGTGTAATGTCTTTAAGCAAGAAAATATCTGCCCATATCATCAATCTGGAAAAATGGGATATACGAAGAGAGGTAAGAAAATATTACCCAGAAAAATCCAGCTTCAGTGCAGATAGAACAGAAAGTTTGGGTTCAACAAAAGAGTAAAGTTATATTCTGGATATCAGTTTACAAATCTTATTGTGAGTGACTATCTGGGCTCTCTGGCAACAGTCTTACCCAGATATAATTTCCTTTCAGTATACCAAAGTCTGAATTGGATCAGACTGCAGAACAATGACCTATTGGACATGTGAACTGCTACTGCTCTTTGTAAGATTAAAGTAGTAAGCATGGCAATGGACGACTGCGGGCCTGCCTCATCAGAGGATTCTGGAATGCTTCCATCTTGGAATATAACAATTTCTGGAATTAAAAAGACTGGAAGGTTATTGTTTCTAATTAAGAGATTGTGGTGGATGGATGAATCAATAGACATACATTTTCATATCTTCATGGTGTTTATTTTGGTTAGTGAAATTGTAATTGTAACCTTGTTCATAACAGTAGGATGAACAAGCTTTTTCATTCTTGAATCAGGTCAGCTATTGATGGAATTTGTGCTTTCATCCTTTTTTTTTTTTTTAACCTGTGTCATTTTGACATTATTCTTTGTCCCTGTTTTAAAAGAAATATAGAAAAATATGAATTGTTTATAAAAGCTATATGTCAATTTACTTTTTAACTATAGGCATAACAATTAATTAGTATAATTAAGACACTATCTACACTAACCTCAATTATTCTTATCCTCCATTACTTGTTGTGGCAGCATCCATGGGCTCAAGTGTGGCAACAATTGTGAGGTTGACCCAGGACTGGGCAGTGTTTCATTCTATTGTGCATAGGTCACTATGAGTTGGTACTGACTTGATGGCACCTAACAATAACAACAACAACAACATCTCTCCAAATTTTTTGTTGTTTCCTTTACCAAATCTGCCTTCTTCACTCCTTTCTTATGTATTCAGTAGTCTCTTAGCTGATTTACTACTTTCCAGTTCTGAATCCAATCAATTTTACCACATTCACATGAATGAAATATAAAAACTATAATCTATATCATGCCCTTACCACTTCAATATTACATGCTTACCTGTTGCTACATAATAAAATGTAACTATTTATTATAGCATGCAAGTCACTTGTCTTAGCTCATTATTACCCATGTCTTAGGCTGAGTTTTCAAGAGAAGCAAAACCAGTGCAACACATATGTATGTATATAAAGAGAAGTTAGATTCCCAGGTCACAGCAGAAGAGAAGGTGAGAGTCCCTTCCATGTGTCCATCATATTCGAAGCAGGCAACACCCTCCATGAAGCATCCTTTTGATTGATTGGCTATTCATAGCCATTCATCATAGACTTAGAGAACTATGCCTGTATTAGGTTTCATCTCCGTGGGAATAAACACATTCTGACTGCTAAACCTATGAAAATCCAGGCCTAGTCAAGTTGACACAGAAATCCAACCACTACAGTCCACTCTTGTCAAGTTGAAACCTATAAACTATTTGCATAATCTCTAAATAAAGAATATTGTAAAGTTATACTTGTGCTTAACATGATATAGCTAAAATATGTACAACCTAAAACACACTGCAGCCATTTACATCTTATATTTTATAAGTGAATAAAGCAAAAATACTTGATGCACATATGCAAAAGAAAACAGAAAATATATATTGATTCAAAAGTTCAAATGGCACATTCTGCAAGCCAGCCTCCTGTCCATACTCTGTCCAGAAGCCTATGATCCACAGCTGCTCTTTTTTTCCATGCTACCATTGTTTCTGCCATTTCTGCTGTTGCTACTTTTCCAGGCAGGGATGCCATGATCTACTCATGCTTTTGCTTAATGATGGTCCTGGGATCATCTATTCCTGAAATGAAGCATTACTCCCCCTATTTAGTTACACATCTTCTACAATTACAGTTTTCACAATCACTATTAATCCTACTAACAATTACTCACAACTGAAATCATAAAATCTTTTCAGCATCATCCCTCACCCTCTTTAACCAGACTTATCTGGAAAAGAGGAAAACTAGTCAGTGGGGATTCTCCTATGTCCCCTAATTCTAAAACTAAGTACTTCCTTTAAAGCTTGTAAATCAGCCACTTCATTCCTTTATAGGTTACCCATTTTTGATAGCTAGTGTCTAAACTGCCCATCCTAATCAACTCAGTACATTGAGGAGACTTCCTTGATATGAAGAAGCTTCCATTCCGATTGGAATTTTGAGCCAGTTCATTCTGAAGCAAATG